AAGACCTTCAACCTTTAACGGCACTGGGACTAGCAGGCCGGTGTTCTCGAGACTTGTGTGCTGGCGGCCTGCCACTTGCTGACTGGCTGAGTGGCAGCTGCTGGCGCTGTGAGTACTAGTTGGTGAGCACGTTGGCAGTTGGCGCAGGCTCAAGGGGGGGTGGGATCTCAGAGGGCTGGAATGTGGATGGGTGCTTGGGGCCCAGTGGCCGACAGTTCTGCAACAAATGTTTCTCGTGCCGGACTTAAGTCACCCTCACAGGCCTGCTCAGTGATTAGGACCGGCTGGTGAGAGGCCTGCCCATTTGGCAGACCATTTGACATGTGTTCCAGTTAAATCATTTTGCTATCCCAGAATAACGGAGACTATGAACAGCCCCACTATGGGTCTGGACTTGTATGGCAGGGGTATCACTTCTCCCATCAGAGCCCAGGTGGAAGGAAGGCAGCGTTGATCCCAAAGTGGATTTTTACCCTGACTGGTGTGACTCTTAACCCCCTGATGCTTGGTGAGGAACTTCCAAATCAGTTCTGAATTCTGCCTCGTGCTAGCGATGTGAGCAATGCTGAAGCCGCGTGGAAGCACACTTCCTCCTCATTTTCAGCAAAAATGCAGGGCACGTGCAAGGGACATTTTTAAGGATGGGTTTGGGGGCCTGATTAGGGACTGGATGAGTTAATTTCTTCCAACTGATTTATAGAGGGGAAAAATGGTTGGGTCAGCCACTTTACATGGTATCTCTGTCTTACTAATAATAGCCAGCAACTGCAAAGAGGACGTAAGACTGAAGAACTGATATGTGTCATGTAAAGATGGGGAAAGCGGGGAAATCTCTCTGGTCTGTGGAGAGGGCCAAGTTCACCAGGATGACCTTGCTCTTGAGGCGGAGCAAGGGCTGCCAGGTTTTATGTTTTCACTTTGTTTCGCTTGCCCCTTTTCTGCAGAGAGGAGGTCTGTTTTCAGGCGCTCTGCGTGATCCATCAGAAAGAAGGAAGTTCTGATGACTTGCTATGTATAGGCTTGAAGGGAATGTGAACTATGCATCAAAGAGCCAAGGAATGCACCAATCATGACCCTCACTCCCTACTCAGACGGTGGGGCTGGGCAGTGTTCTCAGCTTGGCCAGAAGGCTTGTGCACTGGCTTTTCTACCTCCCTTTCCAATCATCTCTGGCTTTCTTGTTTTTCCTTTTCTTTGGCTTGTGGCATGCAATTTTGGAAAAGGCTTAGATTTCGAGGTTAAACGTTTTCTTTAGAAAATATATCAAGAGACAACAAAATATTTTCGGACCCGCCCGATGGGTGAGAGCGTACAAAGTGAAGTCTGCATTTAGTTGTGTTACATTCAGCATGCTGACTGACCTGGGGTCAGTTCTGAGAAGAGATGAGGGACAGACTCTTTCTATTTTTCCAAAGAGAACAGTGCACAGTTAGGGTACGTGCAGCACTGTAGCTCTCTGGGATTTCGTTCTTAAAACTTCAGTGTGGTTTTCAGAAAATATCCTCATTAAGCTGTCACCCTTATCTGTGTGTACAAATACTGGGTAACTAATGGCTCCTTGCACTTTGGACTGCTCCCTGACCTCCAGGGGAAGTCTTCAAGAAGGTAGATGCGACTGTGTATCGCAGTGTGCAGGCTGCACAGTAGATACTCAGTTAATATTTACTCCCCTCCTCACTGTGGGGGGGGGAGGCAGGAAAGAGAAGAGGGAGCAAACGAGCACCCTCTCTGTTCCTGTCCCCCCAACACTGAGCATGGCCTGCTTCAAGTGCTTTTGGTATAGACAACCATATCCTCCATGTTGCCAAAGCCAGCCGTTGCTTCCCCGTCTGTCTCTCTCAGCTTTCAGGTGGAGTTCTCTGCTCTCTCTGAGTTCCCTGAGGTCACTCATACCCCATGTCCACTTGCCTCACTGCCCGATTTGGGGATGTTGGTGTGTTTTAGCAGGTGGTCTCAGGTCTCCTCCCTTGGGCCTATTCTTCCTTCCTGCATGAGTGCGTCTGGTAATAACCTCAGCCCCGGCTTGATGCATGACCATTGCCACCTTTGAGTACCAGCCGCAAGTTCCAGGCCCAGGCGACTGAGATCCCATCAGCAACTTTTTATGCGCAGGGCGCACATCTCACTCTTAGAGAGTGTACAGAACGGACTCTCTTTCTCACACGGTCCCCTCCGTTCTTGTGCTAGTTTGGGAGTTTCTCTTGCTCCCTAACCACCTGTTTTCCCACGCCACAGGTAGAGCGATCCTTTGAAAAGGGAAAACAGACCATACCTTCCATGTTGACTCCCTTCCCCTGGCTTGCACGACCTGGTTCTCTCCAGTGTCAGCTGTACAGTTGACCCCTTGCTGTCTAGATCTGACATCCGTTCTCGGGTGGTGCTAAGCTTTCCCACCCCAGGGCCTTGTCACTTGCTGTTCCCTTTGCTTGGAAGGCTAGACAGCCCCTGGTGCTGCGTCACTCTGTGCAAAGATCTCACTGATGCTCTCTGACATTATCTTGTTCACTGTTAGGTTTTTTTTTTTTTTTTTTTTTTTGGTTTTTCGAGACAGGGTTTCTCCGTGTAGCTTTGCGCCTTTCCTGGAGCTCACTTGGTAGCCCAGGCTGGCCTCGAACTCACAGAGATCCGCCTGGCTCTGCCTCCCGAGTGCTGGGATTAAAGGCGTGCGCCACCAACGCCCGGCAGGTTTTTTTTTTTAAAGGAACTTTTTTATTTGTATATTTGTTCCCCTCCCTCTGAAGAGTAGCAGGAATATAGCAAGCAGTAATTAAATATTTGCTGAACCCGTGAGTAACGCTGTATCATTTAATCTTCCTGGGAACCCAAGGCTCAGAGAGACTGGTAAATGGCTTGGCTTCTTAGTCTTTAAGGTATTTCATTCCCACTATAATCCTGCTGACTGACCCATATCTTGTTTATACGTTTAGTTTGAGTACAGAGAGGTATTCCAACGTGTCAGGATGAGCCGTCTTGCACGAGGCTCAGATCCCCAAAAGAAGACTCTTGCAGGGTCCCAAAGTCCTATGTTTCTTTCCATCCAAGTCCTAGCCAGGCCTACCCCTGCTTAGCCTCTGAGATTAGATGAGGTGGGGTGCAGTCAGGGTGGCATGGCTGAAGACCAATAATGAATTTCTTAGTGACGTCACTCTCCAGGGCTGGTAAAGGGAAAAAAAGGGAAGAAAAAAAAAAGAAATTTATTATAGAATGTTATTGTGTGTGTGGATATATATATATATATATCTGCCTCAGTCAGTCAGTCAGTCAGTCTGTCTGTCTGTCTGTCTGTCTGTGTCTGTGTGTGTGGAGTCAGTTCTTTCCCTCTGCCGTGTGGGTTTTAGGGTTCAAACTCAGGTCACCAGGTGTGGAGGCAAGCACCTTTACCTGCTGAGATACCTTACTGGCCTAAAAGACCGCATTTATAAAACAAAGTATTGTATGCTAAGTTCGATGCTGAATGCTTTTAAGTTTGGCACCTCATTCGAATCTCAGAGCAATCAAGGCAGAGTTGATAGTGTTGTGTTGAGTCACTGTGAAATTGATATGACTACCCTAATTTTATACAAGGAAAAAAAAAAATCCCTGTGGCTCAAAAAAGTTAACTACTTTGCTCCAGGTGGCATAAGTACTAAGTGGTTGAATTCGATTTCTGTTTCTTGCTTCTGACCTTTTTATGCAAAGGTGATTGCTGGGTAAGGGAGCTATATTCCTAAAATGGGAAGGGAAAAGCTGAATTCAGTGCACCTCTGCCTAGACTACAGCAAATATCTGAGAACAAACCCCAGCATCTCCAGTGCTTGAGCATACAACTGGATGACTGGAATACAGAGGGAACATGTGGTTCTCTGGCAAGGCTCATACACGGGATGACAGAGAGCAGCTGTCCCCGAGAAAGTCTTCTTTGTTACAAGACCCGTACTACACAAGCAGCATTGGAGCAGTTCAGGATTTCTTCCTGCTTCCACTATAAATAGAGTTCATGGAATTCTGTATATGAAAGTTAGTGCAATGCAAAGGAGCCCAGAGTAAGGGAATAAAGCTTCACTCATTCTGTAAACTAGAAACATGTTTGGCACCGGGAGACTGCAAAAAAAAAAAAAAAAAAAAAAAAAGAAAAAAAAAACCCGCTGTCGTTCCTTGGATAGATTCTGAGGTCTTATTTAGCATATGAAATTGCAGAGTAGATCCTATTATGTAAGGAGGCAGGAGGACAGCAGCATAGCGTGGTTACAAAATGAAGAACTTCGTGCCCTTCAGAGAAGAGTTAACAGTGCCTCCAGCGCACAGAGGGACACGTGACAGGAGTGTGGAAATGAATGGATGGGTGGCATGTATATGTGCCTACTGCTGTAGCCCTGGTGCGAGATAATCCCTCAGATGTCAGATTGCCGTGAGGCCAACATGTGACTCAACGCTTGCCACTCAACACGGAATCCTGGGCTGGTATTAAGAGGCTGGCTGCAAGCGAGGTTCCCACTGTGCATCAGCCTAACTCCCTGTCGCTCGGTGTGTGGGTGGGTGTGCATGTGCTCCTAGGAGGGTATACATTTTGTGCAGTGGGTGTTTAAAGAGCTAAGCGCCGAAACTGGATTTCCACAAACGATCATCACGAACACTCCAGACACATCAAACTTCCTCTTTTGGTATTTTTTTTCCTCCTTCTTCTTCTTCTTTTGCTTTCATCTCTTGTTTTTCTCTTCTGCAACTCCCCAGAGGGAGAATCTCCCTCACCATCCAGGCTTCAAGATTGGGATTATTTTCTCTCACCTCTCCATGGGGCTGCCCTCTCAAGGTTAGAACTGAAGCTATGTGGGGCCAGCACATTCTCAAGCACCAGATGAGAAGAGCTGCGTGAAGGAGTGACAGCCACCCGAGGAAGAAGGACTCTGCCCTGCAAACATGAACAACAGCTTGCAGGTTAACCTGCCCAGAAGCTGGGCTGCTTCAAGTGGCTCACTTCAGGAGAAGTCTGAGCATTCTTTTTTTCTCTTCTATTACTATAGGATGGAGGATGAAGCTGTTCTGGACAGAGGGGCTTCGTTCCTTAAACACGTGTGTGATGAAGAAGAAGTAGAAGGTGAGCCCCTTGGGTCTGGGAAAGTGTGTGTTTATATCCATGTGCTCTGTAGATAACGGCGCTCATATATTTCACGCATCTTAACATTTTAAAAGTTAAACACTAAACCTTGCCGGAGGAGTTCCTTTAATCTCCACATTTTGCTTCAGCACAGGAAGTAATTCTAAGAACTTTATCGGACCCTCAGAATTGAAGTGGGCAGGGGCTTACCTGGGACACCCCCCCCCCCCCGCCCCCGGTGTTATTTTAAAGTAGGTGCTTGTGTTAGCTTTACCTCTCCACCAGAAACGAATGTTTTACTAGATAATTCCTGGGAGCTGCCAGATCTATAGAAATGTATTTGTTAGCACTTTCTACTATTCCTTTTTTTTTTTGGAGCTTACAGGGGGAGAGAAGCAGATGTTGCCGAAGGAGAGAATGATAATCATTGTTGTAGGGAAAACAGGTCTAAGCTGAGGGGTATGAGAATGGTTGTCATGGACAAGTCTTCCTTCAGGAAGCTCAGACAGGCATTTCCCATTTAAAAACTCCTCGGAACCTCTTTCACTAATGTTAAAACTGAAGAAGAGTTCTATTTTATCTGCCGCCAACATACTTCAGTATGTGCTTCCTCCCCTCACCTCCTGACTTACCAAGAACATCAGGGGAGTGATGCTTGATTGGTAGTGAGAAGGCAGGAGGGCTTCATTAATAATTTGGGAAGTGATAATGTGAAGGCATCACAAATACATGGTCTGTTATTGGTATTTCTACGAGATTTCATAGGGCAGTCAGGGTTCGAGATAGCATCCAAGGGAACTCATGGATGAACGATGTGATCGGTTTCTCCTGTGAATGTCACTTGAGAGACAGTCCCCTGTTTTGGAGGCTGTGGACTGACTGGTCCCTTTGGTTAGCTTGTGCCTCCCCAGAGCCTTGGCAAAGAGGATGGTGAGGCCGAGAAGAAGGAGGCGGATAGTGTGTGTTCTGAAGCAATGCTTCAAGCAGCTGGAGCCCCAGGTCAAGGGTGTTCTTGCTCCTGTGTTACTGGGAGCAGCCCCAGCACGGTGGTGGTTACGTGGTTTCTCGTGTTTCTTTAGTGAGTTTCTTCTGCCCTCTGCAAGACTGGTGCCCCCTCTGCCCCACCCCCTGGCTTCCTACACTTAAGCACTTGAGACTGACGAACAAGAATTGGATGTCGAAGTTTCTTAGGAAAGCGGAAACTGCAGTATTTTCTTTCATATTGTTTTATGGGTTCCTTGCATTTTTTACACTGTGACTATGGGAAAATGTGAAGTTTGTGGAAGGCAAGAGAGTAAAACTTTTCTTCAGTGCTGAAACTCATTGTAGCCACTGTCATTATCCCCGACTGTAAAAGGGGAGATAAAGTCATCAAGTTAGAGCAGAAGAAATAATGTAGGCTGGATGCAAATGCTAGCGTTGTAGAACAATTAAAGTGAAAAAAACCTTGGGAATGGGAATGTACGGTGTGCACACATTCTCCTTTGGGAACAAGGTCCCGGCTGAGTTCTCAGGAGATGTAAATCTCCAGTCCTGGAGGTGCTTTGGATCAACAGCACAGTACTGCAGTAGATGACTGCCCTCTGGTTCTTAAAGCTTTGTCTACAAAGTGTATTTCCTGAATTATTTCCCTTGATTTTCAAGCAGAAAATTAATCTATTGATCATAGCATAAATCATAATATAAATAACACGGACTTCTGTAGCCAGCTTTCTTTGGGAGAGAAACAGAAAGGCAACCAAAGGTTATAGAAGGTGCCTGGTTCAGTGCAAGAAGTGTGCTGGTTTTATGGCCACGAAGCTTGCACTTTCCATTCTCACAGGGCATCCACATTACAGTCACTCTTTTGCATTGTTGGCCCGTGTGTGATCAATCCCTTTTATTTCAAGGCATGTTCAGTTGTCTGCTTTTGAATCCTAGGCCTTTTAGGATGGTGGTTGCTTACAGTGGATTTGGTGTGACCTTCCAACAGTGGAAACATTCCTATAGTAGAAGGGTTGGAAGTTATGAACTGCTTCTTTATCCTTCGGTACCTTCCATTCGGCCCTCTCCTCTCTCAGCTGGCTTCATCAAATTGGGCTGGGGGCATGCAGATGTAGTATTAGCTCTGGGTGAGAGTACAGAGAAGCTGAAATGGACCAAGGGTTCATGGCACATCTGTGGGTCCCGTGATTGAGGGGGGAAAGGGATGGTGGTTGGCTTCTGATGTAGATCGCCTTTTAAGTGAGGATATATTTCTCAAGGTTGTGAGTGGATCTCATAGTTGTAATTTTATAGAAAAAGGCAGTACCAATGGGGAACAACGTGTTACTTCCTGAATAGCTGAGTCTTTGACGCATTGAAGCAGGAGTAAATACTGGGACTTCAGGATGGAGAGTTCAAAGGACAAGGAGCCTGAACCTTCCTGTAAATTAACAGTTATGTTTCCCTTGACCCCAGAAAATGGTTTATTTTCCTGCTAAGATGACCATGACTGAAGTTTGGTCACCTTAGCAACACACCTTGCCAAAGTAAGCTTAAATAATTCACTTTTTAGTAATTTCCATAAGTTTCAATAACTGAGTTCTGGTAGCTGTGGTTACTTTGACATGTTCATATAGTAAAGATAGTTCTTAGAATCCCCAAGGTGGGATGCCTGGATTCAGTTCACTGAGGCCAGAAGAATTCCAGGTTCTCTCTGAGCTTTTCCTAATGATGTTTTTCTGGGGCTGCAGTGACTGAGACTTCAGACCGTGCCCCCAGTTCACCTTGTTCAACTTTTCTCTCAGTGGGCGGCACAACACTTAATCCTCCTCCTAAAATCTTCATAGAGAACCGTCAGCTGCAAAACTCCCCGAGAGCAGAGTGAGTCAGGAGAGGAGTCATCTTTTGTTTAAATAATGAACTTATCCATGCCACATATATTTAAAGACTTAAACCTTGTTTTCATAAAATCTCCCCCATGTGTTAATGGCATTCTGAAAGGGAAACCAAGTGCCAGTTGTAATCTTGGAAATAAATGGAAGCTTTTAGATCTGTTTCTTCACTGGTTAACCTTGCACTGGGTGTGGCTTGGCAGTTCATATTGAGCACCGAGTATATCCACTTGTAGGAAGAGTTCTGTGATTCGGACACGGATATCTGCTCTGAACCCAAAATCCTGAGCTGTTTCTCCGGCACTTCTGGATAGAACTAGTCAGTAGATGATAAACTGATATTGCCAGAGCAGCCTAGACCATGGGAAACAACTACTTGGGTTTGATTTCAGGGGAAATTGCCAGGTTTTGTCAGTTAAGCCAAGTTTGAGGTAGCTTTTTTCCCCCCAGAGGAAATTGTATGGATAGTTGTTTTTCCCCCAGAGGAAACTGTATAGGTTATAAAAAAAGACACCTTGGGGATGGGCTTAGTGGTATGTATCTGTAATCTCAGCACTTGAGAAGCTGAGGCAGGAGGATCAGGAGTTCAAGGGCAGCCCAAAGAACCTGTCTCAAAAAATAAAGTTAGCTTGGATTTTGGATCTGTGTGATATAAACAGATTACTTAATATTCTCATATTTCGCAATAGGGGAAAAGAGCAAACTCCACCTTATCCTTTGAGATAAGGCCTTGGCTCTGCTGGGCTAGGTAACTCCCCAGCGGCCTTGGCAGCTCTGACTTCATGAGGAGGAGCCTCTCCTTAACTCTGAGTCCAACTAGCAACTCAGGAAACATAAAGAACAGCAGGACAATATGGTCTGAAATGTCGACGTAGCTGGAGCTTGGTTGGAGCTTGGTCGGTGCTCTCTCAGAGCAGTTAAGGCTGTATTGTGGTGTTTTCCCTCCACTTCAAAGCTGAGTTCCACAGGAAGTGTGCTCCCACCTGTCAAAGGCTGAAATAATCCTAAAAGCCCCCCTCATGTTCATTCAGAAAGAGAGTATTGTTGCAAATTCTGGAATTTATCATGAGGTCTTTTCAGAGAAATAAATTTTGGAAGTATAGGACAGTATTTGGGGATGAGTGCACAATCACCCAATATTTGTTAGAACAAAGGATGCACTCATCAATATAGAATATGAACTAAGTAAAACACGTGCAAAATTATATCATTCTCAAAAATCTGCTCATATTTTTAGTTAGTATTTTGTTCTTAGTACTTAAAGTCAGGTTGTATGTTATGGTCTCTATCTTATCCTTGGTATCCTGTTTGATTTTACAAGGATCATTTTCAGTTTTACAATGCCTATATATTTGAAGTGATAAGAAAAAGGAGGCATTAAAACTTCTCTCTCTAAACCCCTCTTATTGTTCTGGTCTATGTTTTGAAAATAGACTAAAATGATGAAATGGTGGCTTTTGTCTTTTTGGAGGTCAGGACCTCAGCATTTTACAGTCATGAAATCATAATGACTTAAGCTAGTTTTCACTAGAGGATATTACGATGCTCTTTCTATTCATGTGTATTGGAGGAAGGTAGTTCTAAAGAAAAAGGTGGGGCCTGGTAAACATCTGTTAATAATTACAGAGTTCAAAACTATAATTGCAGAGAAGGAGTGAATCAAAACCTATCATATGGGAAGGGAGGGGCCAGGTCCAGGGCTGGGGCTATTCTGAGCTCTGGGCCTAAGTGTCCGGTTGCATTGTGCTGACCTCTTCTCTGCTGTTCACTCTCATTGCTCAGAAACAGTGTGTACAGAGGAAGCACTTGGAAAAAGGCTGCTGAAGGAAAAGCCCTCTTAATAGAAACAATGCAATCCCCACATTGGAAAACATTGAAGAGACACAGGGAAGCTTTCAAAGTTGGTACTTGACCAGCAGCTTGGCCCCACCCTCCCTCAGCAGGGTGAGCCTCTTCAGATATTTCCAAATCCCTTCTGTGTTTCTCCTCTGGTCTCAGCCTACCACTCCCCAGAGATTCGAAAGCCTACAGCTCTGATCTCCACGGCTGCCCGATACCTCCTGCTACCCGTGAACGAAATCTTTATCTGTAGATGTTGTCCTGAGTGAGGAAATCTGATGTGTTTTCATGGGTTTTTGAAGCAGG